TGGTGGAGACTGTCTAGGTTGGTGTCCCCACCCGTGATAGGAGCAGGTTCCGGGAGTTCATGCACTGCTGTTTTGCACCCCTGGTGCCAACATAAACACAGCGAAGGGGTAAATAACAGTTTAATATCATTGGGAAAATGGATTTGACCTTGAAGATCCCCAGGGGTCTATGGACCACGCTTTGAAGATCAATGCTCTACCTCCCCACATGGGCTGCCCGAGGAAGGAAGGAGGGGCTGTTATCACGTCTTTAATATCATTTATTGGGAGATGGGGGTCAAGAAAAAGACCCCCCGTGCCCCAAACCCTTCACCCCATATGCTATTCTCCACTGCCCGCACCCTTTCCTGATTCTCCACAGAAAGTCTCTTCTGAGACACACCGTCCCCCTCACTCCAGCGCAGACTAGACAGCACGGGGGGATCCCAGCTGGAAGGACCCAGTCCTCCTCCCACCTGTGCTAAAACTTAACCTGTGCTGCTTCTGGCCTGGTGATCACCTAAGCCCAACACTTATGATAAAGAAAAGGCTACAAGAACAGAATGCCCTGTGAGGGGAGGAATGTGGACTGGCAGATGATGGAAAGCCCCCTTTGCAGGGTCTGCTCCATGAACCAGACGGGGAACAACACATACTGGCGAGGACGTGGAGAAAGGGAAACCCTCTTGCACTGTTGGTGGGAATGCAAGCTGGTGCAGCCATTCTGCAAAATAGTACGGAGGTTGCTCAAGAAGTCAAAAACAGAGCTGCCCTATGACCCAGCCATTGCGCTACTGGGTATTTACCCCAAAGATACAGATGTAGTGAAAAGAAGGGGCACCTGCACATTGATGTTCATAGCAGCAGTGTCCACAATAGCCAAACTGTGGAAAGATCCGAGATGCCCTTCAACAGATGAATGGATAAAGAAGATGTGGTCCAGAGGCACCTGGGTGGCTCAGTGGGTTAAGGCCTCTGCCTTTGGCTCAGGTCATGATCTCCAGGTCCTGGGATCGAGTCCTGCATCGGGCTCTCTGCTTGGCAGGGAGCCTGCTTCCTCCTCTCTCTCTCTCTGCCTGCCTCTCCGCCTACTTGTGATCTCCGTCCGTCAAATAAGTAAATAAAATCTTTAAAAAAAAAAAAAGAAGAAGATATGGTCCATATGTGCAATGGAATATTACTCAGCCATTACAAAGGATGAATCCTCAGGTTTTGCATCAACATGGATGGAACTGGATGGGATTATGCTGAGTGAAGTAAGTCAAGCAGAGACACACAATTGTCATATGGTTTCACTCAGATGTGGAACATAAGGAATAGCATGGGGGACCACAGGGCAAGGGAGGGAAAACTGAATGGGAAGAAATCAGAGAGGGAGACAAACCATGAGGGACTCTCAACTCTGGGAAACAAAGAGGGTTACAGAAGGGAGAGGGGTTGGGGGGGGAGCCAGGTGATGGGTATTAAGGAGGGCACGTGTGGTGATGAGCACTGGGTGTTATACACAATGAATGAATCATTGAACACCACATCAAAAACTAATGATGTACTGTATGTTGGCTAATTGAATTTTAATTAAAAACAAAAAACAAGGGCTGCTGGAATAATCCTTGGGATCCCAGCTGCCATCACCACCCAGGGACTCTGTCGGTCTTAGTCCCGTTTCAGGCCTCAGCTTAGACATGGCACCCCCCCCATACCCCCATCTCGGAGTACCCCCCCCAATGCCCTTCTTGTGATTTTCCCCACTGCACTGTGAATTCCTAAAAAGGCAGCAGCTCTTTTCTGTCTTGTTCTTTCACTCTCAAGAAGTTTAAAGCACAGAGGGGATGTGTTCATGCGCTCTTTTCTTAAGTGGTTGCCCTCAGGCGGGGCAGGCCTCTCCGTCCACCGCTGACCCCTACCACATCTCCATCATCTCAAGAACGCGTTCCTACTTGACCTGCCTGGGCCCAAACAGAACTGGAATTTGCTGGTCACACTGAATCGCAGGCCTGAGTAGGCCCTCTGTCATTATGTGTCAGAAGGATGACTCTTATCTTTTCAGGTTGGGTAAAGCACAGAACAAGATGGGAGTCGGTGTCTCTTTAACTGGCCGCTGCTCGCTGACCGTGGCCCCCAGCACTGCCTTTGTCACAGGAGTCCTGCTGTGCTTGGTAACCTGCATCAGAGCCTCCTGGCATCTTCTGTCTTCCGTCTCTCCAGGGAATGCGTGGTCTTCCAGAAGGCAGGGTCCTGTCTCTCTTCCTTTCTTCTCTTTCGCTCCTTCTCTGGCCTAAGGATCCCTGGCATCCTCCCACCCCAAATTCAAGCCCTTAATTTTCCAACCACTTAATCAGGCTACAGTCTGCTTAGACACCTGGGAAAGTAGCAGAGCCCCTGCTCAGAAAGAAGATAATGGTCCCTCCAGCAGGAGGCCTCAGCTGGAAGATCAAATCTTAGGGAAACCCAGAAGGGTACAGTCTTAGATGAGGCGAAGCTGGGGGCAGGGAAATCGTGCTAGGAGCTTGGGAAGGTAGGCTGGGACCGGATCGTTGAGCGCCCTCAAGGCTGTGCTAAAGAAGGCGGGTCTCTTCCTACAGATATTGGGGTGTAACGTGACCAGACCTGTGTTCCCTGAGCACATTTCCTTGGGAGGATCTGTCCCAACCCTCCCCTTTTCCCTTGCTCACAAAGGACCCTCCAGCATCTCCCTTTGAGACTGTGCGAGAGGCTCTCCTGATTGGGTGGCCACCGTGTGACCAGCGTCTGAGAGGAGGAGCAAGGCTGAGCAGCAGACAACCCCCGACTCCACCCACCTAGGCCAAAACACGTTCCCCAGCCTGAGCTGGTCGGACTAGACTGGGTGGGGACTGCAAGGATCCGGAGGGGATTAGCACAAGGTCCCAGCCTTGAATGAAGCACATTCCACAGTCAAGTCAACAGGGTGTGGTTGTACCCAACCCCCGCCCAACTCCAGGCCCGGAGGGTTGTGTGCGTGTGTTACAAATGTAAGAGCATACCGTGTGTCGGCCCGGGACCTGGCATTCCTAACCAGCTATGCCTTCTAGGAGACTTCCATGTTATTTCCTTCCAGAACTTTCTCTGTTCATATGTCCTCACTAGGTTCCGCTTGCAATTTGCAGGTGACTCACCGTTTCAGCATCATCGCTCAGTTGGGAGGAAGAAATGAGAAGAGGGGTCAGGGGAGATTCCATTAGGACCTGGAAGCTTGTCCTGGTCCTGGCCCTGGTCTGCAGTCACCTTGCTCTATCGCTCAAGTCAGGCAGCAGCCCTGAAGCAGGTGGCCTAGACTTCTGGAACATCTGCAGGAGAACCTGGTATCTGGGAATATACCCCAAATTTCGGAATTCACCATTCTTTCACTGCACGTAGAAGTAACATATATTCACCATAAGAAAAAATTCTAAAAATTCCAAAAGTAAGGAACACTTTTTTTTTTTTTAAGATTTATTTAAGAGAGCGAGCGAGCAGGGGGAGGAGCAGAGGAGAGGGAGACAAGCAGATTCCCTGCTGAGAAGGGAGCCAATGGGGGGCTCAATCTCACGACCCTGAGATCATGACCTGAGCCAAAATCAAGAGTCAGCCGCTTAACCACCTGAGCCACCCAGGAGCCCCACAAAGTGATACAAGCGGAGATGCTAGACTCGGAAAAAATCCCAGCTCCCCTATTTGATAGCTGGGTGGCCTTGAGTGTGTGACTTGACTCTGGTCCTCATTTGTCTCCATGTATAATGGAGATAAAACGGAGTCGGCTCTTAAAGATGTTGAGATGTTGTGAATAAGATAACATAGGTCAAGTCTTAACCCACATTGGCACACTGTAGCTAGTGTTAATTACTAAATGCAATTTCTCGGCCCCTCTTACGGAATTAATGCCACATGGCCAAACTGCTTTCCAGAGACATGGAGCGAGTTCCACGCCTTGCACAGGGCATCTGGTCTCTTTCATGGCATCTTCTCCAGCAAGGAGTTTGGTCATTTTTTCATCTTTGCTCAATCTGCCTTCCAAAGATGACGTAGGCCCTGGGCAAACCCCCCCTTGACATCCTCTTTCTTCTCAGTCTCAGCATTCAGCACAGAACCCCGCCTCCATCAGCCCTCCTGGGTTGCAGATGATGGAGCTAAGCTGTAAGGCATGAGATACGAGGTCACATCATCAAAGCAGGAGAGTGTCCCTATCGAAGTTTCCACAGGCCGTCTTCCACGTGCCGCTGAATGGCGAAATAGGGGACTAAGGCAGTAGATGGTAGCCCCCGTGTGCGCCGCCACCCCTCCCCCATCTGCTCTTACCCTCATCCCCATCCAGTTTGTAATCCTGGGAGCGGAAGCACGGAGGCGGCTTGGTGATCAGCTTTCTCCAGAAGAGGCCCAGAGAGGTGAAGCGGCTTGTCCAAGGGCACACAGCTGGCCAAGTTGCCCCTGAGAGTATCAAGACAGCAAAGAACCCAAGATTCCCCTCACAGCCGCACACCCCATTTACTTCCTCTTGGCCCCATTTACCGCTTCACCAGGAACATCAGAGGGGACGGTGATAGGGCTGGGAGACCGCACAGGGGGCTCTGAAGGTCCAAATCCGTGGCCCGTGCAAGTCAGCTGTGAGAAAGAGACTGAATCTTCTGGGCGGTGCTGTTCTCAGCGCCAGGTGCCGGAAGTGCCCCTGTAGTCCAGCTGGGGGGGGGGAGGTGCGGGTGGGGCACCGGGGAACCTCCTCGCCCACCTCCTCTTTCCTGCACCATAGACATAGCTTTTATTTTTCCTACGTACGGAAATTCCCCAGAAAGAGCCAGTTCCTTGGACATACTGTTTAATTAAAAAGAGGGGAAAGGATAAGCTTACAAAGTACAGGGCAAACCAGAGGTCATTGTTGTAACAGTTTTATTCAAGTCTGTGTGTGCTCTGGTGGCGGGACCAGGCTGAATCAGCATTACACTGTAATACGGTAAGAGGTTTAGCCATTGAACCAAGCCTGCTTGGCATCCCTAGTTAACAACTTACAGTACCTTGAAAAAAAAAAAAAAAGCCAAAGAAAAGAACCTGGTAAGTTTCCTTCTGGGCTTTTCTAGTCTTAAATATTGTTGACAAATTACAATAACTTAAATCCCAAAGCAAAATGGGAATTCAAGGACACAGGGTCAGGACGTGTGGACAAGACACTGGAACCTAGGGATGAAAACGAATAGCTAATTCCAGAGAAACAAAACGAACACAAATGTGAACTTTCACTTTTTTCACCTAGACTCAAAGGCTCGAACAGGGAGGAAAATCCCAAAGAAGGCATTTCTGCAAACCAAGTAAAACCCATCACCAACCTCTTTCCTTAATCCTCCAGAAAATTCAGTTTAAATCTGTGTGCAAGCACGTGAGTGTGCGAGTCTGTGTGTTTAGGGTGGACAGTGAGAAAACTCAGAGGAGAAAGCTGACGAGTTCGTCACCTCCCTTCTTTGATACAGCTGGGGACCGAGGGAGTGTAACTCACTACAAGGGCTTTTCTCTGGTCTCACTGCAGCGGTGACCAAGGGACCCAGGGCAAGGCTATAGGCGGGGAATGCAGGGAGCCACAGGCAGGAAGAATCAGGAAGGCCAGTCCTCCTGGCTCTAAGTTAAGGAAGGAGCCCAACCTTCAGAACGACTACCCCTAGGGCTCCCTGAGCAGCCTGGGAGGACACGGGCCCAAGACAGGAAATGAACAAAGGAGGGAGTTGCTGCCAGTGTCTCACCGGGAAGAATGGGAAATAGTCAGCAAGCGGAGAGGCTGACGAGAGGCTCCCCCGGCCTGCAGAGCGGGGTCAGCTTAACTAGGAACCTAAATCCCGGGACTTCGCTTCATTAGCCAGGACTCGGGTCTCTGCCTTCAAACACCAGTGCCCGCGATGGGCAGCGATGGGCAGCGCCCGGGTGGCCAGGCAGGGGAGGAGCTAGGGACCGAGGACTCCCAGCACAGCAACGCGTTTTCCTTTCTAGTGTGGATTTTCACTAATCTGAATTCCTGATCTAAGAGAGCAAGGATTCGTCTGAAAGAAGGGAGCATTTGGGATTGTGTTGCGAGGAATGAAAGTAGCCTGACAAGAACTCATCCCTAGGCCTGAAGCCAAGGGGAGAGGCAGGTGGCCCAGCATGCTGAACCAAAGGAAACTGCCAAGATTCGACTGGTTTTGACCTACAACCACACACATGCATGCACGCACACATACACACGCACGCACACACACACACACACACACACACGCACGCACACATTTTCTCCGCAAAGAGAAGCGATCCAGCAAGGGGAGGCTCCTCGGTGCTGGACCCTCGGTTCCAGAATCACACATTTTGAAGTTAAAGGGCTTTTTCGTGCTTCGGGTAGGGAAGGTAGCATCCCCCTTAGTTCCTGGTTGGGCTCAGAGGTCCAGAGAGGGGAAGAAACATTTGCAACTCCACATAGCTAGTAAGCTAGTATGGAGACAGCTCAGGTAACCATTAGTCTGCCACTCCTGCCACGATGGTCACCTGGGAACACAACGTGCTGTGGGCTGCTCTCACTTCTGACCCAGGACACCACAGACTCTGGCAGAGCTTTCTGGAAAAGCCTGGCACTACAGCAAGGACAAATCTGCTTCTTCCCCAAAATCCTTCAAGAGGCAACGGAATGTTCCTCACCTGCCTGAAGGGGGGGCCCTCCCCTACCTGAGTCAAAAGCACAGGCTTAATTAAACATGGGAGAAAAGGTCAAGGCTCCCTGAAGCATCCCCTTCGCAGCCGTCCGGCCTTCAGAGTCCACTGCTCTCTGCTTTTGTGAAACGTGTGCTGGAAGAGTTAGCAATGCTCGGGCGCTGTCTCCCGCTTGTAGGGGGACAGAGGGAGGAGGGGGCCTCCACTGTGGGAACTGAGGAGCAAGAGTGTGGACCATAAGCCACACCTGGGTGCCCTTGGGGTGTCTTGCTGTGTCCCTGAGCAACCATGGCCGGAGGGAATAGGGGCCTTGTAAAGAGCCTCACACCGGGACATGGATCTCAAGGGCCGGCGGACCTTCCCACAAACTTTCTTCCAGGAACTGGTCCGATTCCAGTCTCTGAACAAAGCAGACTCTGGGAATGACTCCTAAAAAAATCTGAGACCCCAAACTGTCATTCTGACACTGCCTCCGGCCTCCCCGTCTCCTCGGTCCTCCTTCCTAAGACAGTGACAGTGAGGACCAGCAGGACAAGTGAAGTGGGGGGAGTAGAAAGGGCGCTTACAAACACCAGGTGCCACATAAATGTGGAAGAACACACGCCTGACCATGGCCCCCAGACTAAGCCAACTCCAAAGCACTACTCTTCCAGAAACCAAAGGAAGGAACAGGAGGCAAGTCCCTCAGAGGCAGAAGTGGTGAGAACCACACTGCTGAAGCCAGCAGTCCGTCCTGATGGTCGGCAGGGAGCGGAGGGCTTCGCTGACCTGCTGGGATACGTGTCCTCAAGGCCTTGACAGGGAAGCGGGTAACGGTGGCTTTTACAGGAAGGGAATGTGAGAGGAGCGAAAGACCAAGCCCGAGGCCAGAGAGCAAAGCAGAAAGTGGGAGAGAGACACCTTGCTCAGGGCTCAAGAGCTCGGTGCCCAACTCAGCAGCCAGCCCAAACAGCTTTTCAATTTCTCTTCCCTTGAATGTCTTCCTCCTGAAGCGCTTCCTCTTCTGTACCAGCAAGTGTATCAGGACAATGATGCAAGCTTGTAAAGGCCGGGAGGAAAGGTTAGCATCATTCTGAGTGGACCCTTGTGAGCTATCGTCACCACCACCCCCGGACCCGGGGGTACTACAGGATGCGAGGTGAAGACCACCTCCAGAGCCTCTCAGAAATAACATTTGGGGAAAGTGGGGACATCCACTCAGGCCCTGGCAATGGCCTGGATCCCCAAGGGGGTAAATAGAGGATAATCCTGTTTAGAATCCGTGGAAGGATCTGGGGAGGAGGACCAGAAAGCAGGACCCGCTTCCCGTCACCACATTCTAGGTAGTGAGCACCTGCCAAGGGCAGAGGGTAAGTGTTCCTGAGGAAAGAGAAGCAAAGAGAACAGGAGATGCTGGCTAATGCCACGGCCGGGGCTGACCCCAGCTTCAAGGCCTGCTCCTGACCGCGGCCACAGAGGCCGGGGAGCCGAGGTGGACAGAAAGCAACTCAAACCCATTACTACACAGGATCCGCATTCAACCGAGCCTCGCCCCACAGAGAGAGAGAGTGTGTGCAGCGGGCAGGGGCCCATCAGAGACAGGGTTTGGAGGAGCTGAGAAGGAACTCCTCTGTCCCCGGGCGAGCTCCCCGAAGCCGCTTCAGACTAAACCTGCTTCTGCCTCTCGCACGTGCAATTCTACCCTCAGCGGACCCAGGCGTCCCGTCTTCCCTCCGGGTGGGGAGTGAGAAACGGGTTCCACCTCTCACGCAAGGCCAAGGGGCCGCCATGCAGCCAGCACTGCAACAGTCATGCTGCCGCTCCCAACAGAGATGGCTACCACCCCAAGAAACAACGAGAAGTAGAGAACCGTCAGTTGCCTCACCGTGCAGAGCGCGGCCCAGAGCCAGCGGGTTTGGATCTTGCTGTAGGCTGCACCCCGCGGAGGGGCCATTCAGCGGAGCCAAGAGTTTGCAAATGCATTAGTGACTTAGGAACGGGGCTATGGAGAGTCCTGGGGAAGGGCAAGGAAGAGACCACCTGCGGCCCTCTCCCCATCAAGAACAAAGGGGAGTACTTGGTGGGCTGGAACTGTGGAGACGATTCACATTTTTTCCCCTTCTGGCCAAGGGGCTGGGGGGGGGGTGGTGGTGGAGGCAAAAATGGTCCCTCGCAGTCTTCACTGCACAAAGGAGAGATGACACAGGACGGCCAAGTCCCAGGGGCAATACACTGAGCGCGCCTCCCACCCGAGATGAGGTGGCACCCTTGCGCCAGAGTGCCACTGAGCTCATCAAACAAGGAGCCATTTGAAAGCTGAGGTTACCCCTTCCTTCATTCCCAGGTTGGGACTTTATCAGTTACAGGGAGAGACGGAGCAGGGACCAAAGTCATCACCTGAGCCAGCTTCGTTGCCCCCACTCCCCTTCCCGGACCACAGGGAGCCCGCAGGCTGTCTGGCAGCATCTCCAGGGAACTATTCTGTGAGAGAGGACAGTGAAGCGACGTTTGGAGAGTCTGGAGGGGAGAGAGGCATGACCTAAGGCTCTGCTCCCCATCAAGTTCATGTGTGTGTCCCGCACAAGACAATTGTTCACACTTGACACAGGAGACCTCAGGGTAAGCGGAGAAGTGAAAGTACACAGGAGAAAGCTCTAGAAGCAACTCAACATTCAAGTCAAGGAAACGAACTCCAGAAAAGTAGGGGTTGGCCTCTGCTCTCCTTCCAACCCCATGCAGGGTCCAGAGCCCAGCATCGGGGCGTCCTGTGTACGTGACAAGGGACCATGGTCAGCCTGCAGAGCCCAGGGCTTGAAGCTTGGGGCACAATCATTAGGGGCTCACTGAGCACCTTACAAACATCATGGCCTCACCGTGTCCATTTGTGGAAGGTACCACTAAGGCTCCGTTTTCCTTCAAGGGCATCCCGGAATGGACGGCCTGGCTGAGAAGGTATCCCCCCAGTTCTGGCTCCCACTGTCCAGGAGCCCCCACTCTGCCCCCACCAATAAGCTCTTCTGGAGCGGCACAAAGTCTCTACCAACCACACACACAACCCAAAGTCCACTGATCCCAGGATGGGAGGAAAGGTCAAGGGACGGGCGGGCGTCACACATAAAGGTCAGACAACAAAATGGACAAGCGCAGGAACTTCGTCTCTGGCTTCAGAACTGGCACCGGTGAGTGAGTCTCCCAAGAAATGATCCCTGGGATGAGCATGTTTGGGGCAGAAACTGGTCTGGCCATGTCCAGACCCCAGGTAGGAGATGGATGCCATCAACGGTGCTGGTTTCTGCCCTTATTTGCACGATTCCAAAAGGAACAAGGACAGACTCTGTGACTCTCTTGGCTGCCACTTGACTCTGGGTTTCCTAACTCCTCCTCCCCCTCCCCCCAGTTCTCATTGAGGCAGGTCCCCTCATCCCTGCAAGGCTCAAATAAATGCAGGGAGGGGGCACCTGGAAACACAGGCAGGTCAGTGCCGGGTCCGGCAACTCCTGTGCCCCACGCCGGGGCACCATGCCCTCGGTCCTCTGGCTGGCACGTAAGGGCTGAGGACCCGGAAAAGCTCCTATTTTACCCCAGCTGAGATGCGGATTCATAGATGTTGGGGAAGGATGTGGAAGAGGAGCAAAAATCAATCACAGAACATCCAATACTGGTGTTTGGAAAGGTGGAACTCAGGGCTAATACGAGGGCTCCAGGATGGGCTCTGGGCTTACCCGGGGGCTCAGGAGAGGGAGCAGCAGACAAATTTGGCTGAGTGACCCCGCAGGGCCACCCGAAAGGCGAGGAAGACTGTGGAGGATGGGGGACATGCACGCACCCCTCTCTCCCCTACACAGCCAGAGCTGATAGCCACAGCCCCTTCCAGTGGACGTGGGTAGAAAGGCCCTATAGGGCAGGGGACCCTCTGAAGTGGCCCTGCTTCCGCCCCTTCCATCTTCAAAGTGCATTATCAGTGCAAGAAGTAGGGCTGGATTTCAGGGGGGGTCCAACTCTGAGAAAGGGCTGTGCCAACCAGCTCCCCCAATCTCCTCCTGCTTCCCCCTTGGCCGCCCCCAGCCCATTTCACGCTAAGACCAGAACTCTTGCTGAATCTCATAAGGGGCAGGCCTGTGTGTGTTCAGTTCAGCTCTGCACAGCGGCACGGTGCTGTCCTGACTCTGACCCTCCGCATCCAGATCCAGAAGCGTCCGCTCAGCGGGGGGCAGCGGCCCCGCCTGGAATGGGAGCAAGGCCGGAAGTCCAGGCCGTTCCTCCACAGTGCTGCTGCTGCTAGCAAAGCAGGAGTCCAGGTTGCTGGGCGTCTCCGTGCTGGAGCTGTTGGCTGGGGAGGCGCTACGGGCGTGGCTGGGGGACACAAACCACCAAGGGTCCAGCCGTTGCCGGTTGGCAGAAGGACGTGGCCGAGGCAGAAACTCCAGGGTCTTGGGTCTCTCCAAGGTGGAGTCCTGCTGTGTGTTCCAGCGCCTTGGGGTTGGGGGAAAGACCACATTGGGGTCAGGGAGACGGGGGAATTCACCTGGGTCTCGGCTGGGGCTGGGGGTTTTCAACATTCCTGGTCAGAGAGACAAAGGGAGAAGCATCAGATGACAACACCGCGTTCCTGGGCCAGCTAGACGCCACTCCCTCCCCACAGCCGCCATATCCTTAGTCACCTGGACCAACCCGAGTCACAGATAGTTAATGAGCACCAATGACCTGCCGGGCAGTGTGCTGGGAGGCACTGGGGATACAGTAGTGAAGCAGAAGGCTGTGATCACTGTATCTGATTAGAACAGTAATCATGGGACATACGGAGGTGACATCTGTAGTGAAACAGCTTAAGGCAGAACTATGACCCACGGACCACCCTCTGTTGGCAAATAAAGCTTCAGTGTAACACAGCCACATGTACTGCTCGCTCTTCCACTACAGCAGCAGTGTTGAGTAGTTACAACAAACACCACGGGACCCACAAAGCCTCAAATATTTACTCTCTCGCCCTTTACCAAGAAAGTTTGCTGACCCTGACTTAAGGAAAGGTCTGCTTATTCCCAGTTGATTCAGTGAATAAACACGTGAGGCAGGAACAAATCAAGGTAACCAAACTCTACAGATGAGGCATAAGGTCTCTCCCCAAAGAGGACACACATCTGCACAGCAAAAAAAATCTAAAGAGGGGAGGGGGCAAGCGGAAGGGAAAATAACTGTCGTTTACACTCAAGTATCACTCAAATCTCAGTCACCATCTCGTCGTCTTCTGCAGGGTGAGAGGGGTTTCAGAGTCAGATTCAGATCCCCAAGGGGGCAGGGGCTGCTGGTGGGAACGATGTGAAATTAGGATGGCCAGGTAGCTCGGTGTCAGATGGAGGAGGCAGGCACACGCCGGGCCCAGCGGTTCACCGGGATCCCTCTCCACGTCCGGGGAGTCAGCCATAGTAAGGGATGACTGATGCAGGGCAGGACGCCCAGGAGGAAGCTTGCCTGTGAGCACGACTGCACCAGCACAGTAATGGCAGGCCGGAGCCCAGCCACGTGGCACCAGATGCCCCTCCTGGGGCAGCACGCCATTCCTTCCGGGAACTTCCGTCTCCCCTTCTGGGAACAAGCAGAGCTAGGCTCCCGCCCCACCTGTACCCTGCAAGCACCACACAGTACACTCCAAGACCCAGGGCCTGAATATCTCCCGGAGCCCCAGGTCTGATCCTGCCTAGAACCTTTCTGTCTCTCCTGCACTGAGGCACAGGACAGAGAGAGGGCAGCCGGCCGGGCCACCTCCCCAGCGGAGGGCAGCATGTCCTGGTGAGCGGAGTCAGAGGAGGAAGGACATTTACTCCAATACTGCCACTCTTGGCCGGGCTGGGGGGGGGGGGGGGGGGGGGGGGGGGGGGGGTGCGGGGCAGAGAGGCAGGAAAGAGGAGGAGGGCAGGGCTCACCTGCTCCAGGGCTGGGGCTCAGCCCATTGCTGGAGGGGCTCCTGCTGGCGAGGAGAGCCGCTGGCTTGAGGGCCCCGTCGGAAGGAGTCCGCCGGTGGCCACTGGGCTGCGCGGGGGCCGTGAGGGTGACGTGGGTGGGAGTCAGGGACTGGTTCGGGTCCCGCTTGAAGCGCTCCACGCGGACGTTGACCAGGGGGTTGCGGGTGCACGGGCTCAGGGGCGGGGCCTCGGCCGGACTGACGGGCATCTCGTACACCACGATCTCGTCGCTGTCAGAGCGCAGCAGGGAGCGGGTGGAGTTGCACTCCGAGATGGACGAGAGCGACAGCAGCGTCAGGGAGGCGGAGGGGTCTCCCAGCAGCAGCATGGGCTCCTCCTTCTTGAAGAGCTTCCGGGAGGGGGGGCTGGTGCTCCGACGAGGCCGGCTGGCCCTCTGGAAAAGACCCTCGCGCCTCTTCTTCTCCTCCCGGGCTGGGGGCTCAGGCTCCTCCGGGGGAAGCAGCTGGTACTTGCCGGCTTCCAGCAGGTCGAACCCCAGGCCCGTGGCTGCGAGAACAGCCCCACAGCCGAGCAGGGCCACCTCACAACGGCGGTGGTGGCCGCCGCCCCGCTTGAGGCTGTTGGTGGGCGTCAGCTGCGGGGTACTGGTGGCCGAATTGACCGGGGTTGGCTCCTCGTGGACTGCGTCACTGGAGGGGCCCTCTCCGTCCTCTCCACGAGGGAATGGGATACAGAGGTAGGACTGGTTGGGTGGATGCTGTAGACGACCCTCCCCGCTTCTGGGGCCTTCACTGTCCTCATCCTCTGTGCGGACGAGAGGAAGGGAGGGGACACGGGATATAGAGATGAAGCAGCAAAAGAATCTTGTCCTTCTCCCACCCCTGCCTCCTGGCGGAGCGTCAGGAATGCAAAGGTTGAAGAGTCTAAGGAACCCGGCATTGACCCCCAGGGCTTTAGCCCTCCACGCTCAACCGTGACCAACCCGAGGAAATCACTCTCCATTCCACAGCTTCATTTCCTGTTTTCTGAAGAAGAAATCTGCCACTTTTCTACTCCTTTCATAGGGACCCTCAACACAAGAGGTAGAGTGTGAGTGTCCTAGAATAGTGGGTAGAACAGGAACATTCCTCCTTTTTTTGCACCTTAAAATTGGAAGAGACCTTGAATTTCTGGGATGGCCTAGAGACCGGTCCTTAGCCCAGTGTCCTGCAATGGACCGGAATGCCCTCCACGGGTGAAGGTGCATCTACTCTAGGAACTGACCCACTACGACCTTGGAAGTCTTCAGAGAGAACAGCACCTGCTGTCTGAGCGACAGCCTGGAGGAGACCTTACCCAGTCAGCAATCCCAAGTAACTGGAAAGCTTCCCTGGAGAAAGACCACAGTGTCCCCCGCCACCATCTCCTGGTTTGCAGACTCCCCATATTACGATACAAAGGGAAGCGACCCAGCAAAGGGAAGTGCCTGATTCAAGGCCTCACCTTCTGCACTGCCCTAAGGAGACTATACCTGGCTCCCTGGAATGGGAGGCCGCGGGCAGACCCCAGGGCAGCAGGAGGAAGAAACTGTGACTGGGGAAGGTTCAACGAAACGGGAGTAGAGCGAGCAAAAAGGGAAGGAGGTGGGGCCCGGGAGTCGGGGAAAGAGGAGACCCCCATGAAGGGGCACCAGGGGTCCTCAAACAGTCCCAGAAGCTTGACCAAAATTTCCCTGAGGGAACAGGGAGGGTCCGGACAAGGGCAGTGCTCACCCATCTCCATAAGGCTGGTGAACCCTGGCAGCGCTGGGCTACTCCTCGGGCCCTTCCCCAGGTTGGGGGCACTGGACGACCACTGTTTGTAACCATCCACCAGGGACTTGAGGCTGATGGGAGGAAACGAGGAAACTGAGAACTGGTTACTTCCCTTACGCTACCCTCACCTCTACAGGCCTGTGCAAATGTCTCTCCCTAGGAGCCTATTAATTCCACCAAAGCCCACGAGCCTTGGCGTAGAGGCAACAAACCCCGAGTCCCCTCGCATCGCAAACAGAAGTACACATGCTCTCAGGGCCGTGAACCCACCCCTCCACATGCTGCTATGGAGCAGGGGAAAGATCTAGCAGGCAGGCTGGCAAGAGGGCAGAAGAACGCGGATTGCCCAGCACTGGCCCGGGTCTTGCCCGAGCCCATCTTCCGCAAGAGGCCATCACTCCGGGACACTGTCTACAGCACAGTGCTGACATCAGGGGACACTGCGATGCCAGGCAAGCCCCGGGCAGGGGAGCCGGCAGACACGGACGGGCCAGCCTGCTCCACTCAGACCATTTCTCCACTCCTTCCCGGCGTATGGCATGCTCAGGCAACTGTCAAAGCCAGACACTTTTAAAAAACAAAAACCAGCCAACAAGGTTGCACCAACCCAGTGCACTTTGGGACAGACCTATGTGCAGAGTACATAATGCTGTACTGGAGCCCCTGGTTTGTCTGGGAATGGAGAGGAAAAGGGCAGGAGCTCACTTTCAGATCCCTGTGAAGAGCTCACACCTGCAAGCCAGTAACTCGGGGGACCCTGAGGGGGGACCCCTCCAGCCCCCTCATATGATGGGGGAATCAGAGGCCCAGAAGCACTGGTCTTTTCTCTAACAGACAATAAAAAGGGAAGACTGAGGAAATCTGTGGGTTATCGTTACCTTGGAAATACCAGGATAATAATCAGAGGTGGCTCTCATTTTAGGATCAGAAAAATCTACTCAGATTAAGCCCACTCTTCCCAGTCCATCCTGAGGGAGAGAGAAGGACCAACGTTTCCCCTCATTTCAGATCTGTTTCAAGTGTTATCAGAAATACCAATGAATTCAAATACATTCAGCCACCAGTGGTTTCCACTAAAATACACAGTCAGAGATAAGCATGCTACTCAACCCACAGCCTGGGACTTCTAACTGACAATCTTCTAGTATCTTCTGGGTTCAGGGGGATCCGGATTAGCAAAGTCAAAGCCAGTGCTAAATATGACAAACAGCCTTGTGTCATCCCCCTATAACTAAGGTTGCCGGAAGAATCCCAACCACGGGCGCGGTCAGGGAAGGGAGGAAAGGGAGAGTCAGAATAACACAGGAAGATCCCAGGGTGCACAGGGGTACTGCTTTAAAGGAAAAAAGTCAGCACAGCCTTGGCAATAATGAGGCTCGATTCTACGGGGTGTGCCGTGAGAACGAGGAAATGGAAGGGGAACTATTACGAACACACTTGATGGAAGGGTGGAGATGAGACTCACCCCAGGTGGAAATGTGGAGATTCTGATGGGGTGCTTAAACCATTAGCTTTCTCACGTCTCTGAGGGGATCTTCAATGAATAAAGAAAATCAGTAGTAGGCGACAGTGGGTACATCCAACTCAGCCTCTCCCACATGGGAGCCCTCGAGGCTGGACTCAATCACATGGCTAGCCGCCCTCCTTGTGCCCGCTCAGCACAGCCCACACCATGCGGGAACCTTAACGGTGGCCGTGTTCAAGCTGCCACGGGCCCAGGACCTCCCAATCTGTGGGGCGAAGGTCCCTGAGCTGCCACAGCGTAACTGCAGAGACAGCATGAAGCCACATACCCAAGCTGTCTATGAGCAAGTATATGTTTCCTATAAGATATACACTATTTTTTTTTAAAAGGATGGAAATGCAAATTCACTTAACATTACTGAATTCAATATAGCTTCTTGCTGTTACATATTTTCTTCCGTTGATAGGGACTAAAATTAGAAATACTGTCATACAGAGGCTCTCAAAAATTTCTGACATTTGACTTGAGAATGAACGGAATATACGTGATTTCTTGACTAGGAATTGAGAATCAATTATAAGTCATATTTTGAACTGTTTTAACAGTTTTGAGGACAAATCTATGTAAGGGAGAAGAAACGCCAAAATAAATATTTTGGAATGTGAAATAAAGTTAATTTACCAGCAAGACCAAAAAAAAATATATCTATAAATGAAACAGAACTATAGAAACTACTGGGATCCACAGCCAACCTTGGAAATCTTGTCAGGAATCAAACGAAAGTCAGAAATATCAAGGGATTCAGGGCAACTGAGTTTCTCAGACCCACCACAACCCTACTGGACCCCAGGGCTCAAGCGCAATCAGACTGTGGAGCTCTTGCCCCTACAGAACCAACCGCAGCAGAACAATTTACCATTCCTAGAGGGCTCAGGCACTGAACTCTCAGCTTAGGCAGTTTACCCTACATACCTAAATTTTCCTTCCTGTCTGCCTGCCTTAGTTCCCTCCCTCCCTCCCTCCTTCCCTCCCTTCCCTTTTCCTATTCCAAGGCATCTAGTGATTTCTAAAGCCTGGCTTCAAAGAGTCAATCCTTTATGCACCAAGCTGACATTTTCTCTTTCAGCTCAGATCTGAAAGGAGAAAACAGACGTTGGACCTGAGATGGTCTAGTAGTCAAAGGAATACCAGAGCCAGGGCCAGGGCTAGGCACAAGCTCAGGAAAGTCACTGCAAAGGGAGAAGGGGGTTGCTGCTGCTTCTCACTCAGCAAAGTCAAGAAACGGGATTCTAGGTTTTAACACCAAGAATAAGAACCATAAACCATGATGCTCATTCTTCAGCGGCGACATGGAAATGGCACAAGAGGCATGCAACAGCACAGCCGTATTTACACAGGCTCACCAGGAGCCAGTGAATCCTGCCTGCACGTCCTAAAGAGGAACTTATTTAATCCTTGTCTCTGCTCCACTGGTAGGTGCCGACGGAACCCCGTTTTACAGACGGGAAGACACGTAGCCACTGGGCGAGGCACGGCGGGGCCGGGACGGCCTGGGGTCAGCAGGTGCGCTCGCTGCTGCGGACTGCATCACGAGGCACGGCCTCCGAGGAGCCAGGACCTGAGAGATTCTAACCCATAAGGCTCAGGAAGACCAGCACGTCTAAGACGCAAAGCCGGGTCTCGTGCTTTGCCCAGAGCAGCTGCTCACACACTCAGTGAGGCTAGGAGGTGGGGCTTAAAAGAAGTTCTGGGGGCCAGAGATGTCATGAGCACTGGGTGTTACAGGAGACTGATGAATCACTGAACTCTACCTCTGAAACTGTTAATTAATAGAATTTAAATAAATTTTAAAAAAAAGTTCTGGGGGAGCCTGGGTGGCTTGGTGGGTTAAAGCCTCTGCCCTCGGCTCAGGTCATGATCCCAGGGTCCTGGGATCAAGCCCTGCATCCGGCTGTCTGCTCGGCAGGGAGCCTGCTTCCTCCTCTCTCTATCTCTGCCTGCCTCTCTGCCTACTTGTGCTCTCTCTCTCTCTGTGTCAAGTAAATAAATAAAATCTTAAAAAAAAAAAAAAAAAGTTCTGGTGCCCTTGGTGTTACATCTGAGTGCACAGACTGCCAGCGCTGGGTTATTCTGACCGCCCTTGCTTCGGGATAAGCCTCCAAGTTAAGAGGGTCCCGTAAGCCCTGCCCTTTCTTCTCTTTGCTCTGCGCGGGTGTTTGAAGGGGAAGAGCCAGACACTGGCAGGGCTCGGCAGACTCGAACAGGAGGGCTAACTCCCGTCCACCGCCTGTGTTTGTGAGTCTTACTGAAAGAACACAGGTGCGCTCCTTCAGTTACATGTCGCCCATGGTCTGCGCCTGCTTTGGCACGGCAACAAAGCAGCGGAGGAGCTGGAAAAGAGAAGACAGGACCCGCAAAGCCTAAAATAATTACCATACACAGAAGTATGCTGAGCCCCTTCCCAGGGGAGGTCCAGGGAGCGAGGATTTTGGAAAACCACTGCAAAGATCCACAGGCTTGTAATTTCTCAGAAAGCAACGAAACCCACAACAATGAGAAAGTATTTCACCTCATAGTTCTAAAAGGCAGCACCCGTCTTTAAGTGGAAAGAGTCGCCTCCTTCTGGTTCTTACCCTTCATCTCCGGAGGCAAGCTCCTTCTGACCAAGCGTGCTTGGCCCCCACGTCCGTCCTTTCTTCTTGGGGGCCCTCTTCTCCTCCTCCTCCCCTTCCTCTCTCAGGATGACTGAGTTCCGGCCCCAGGTTTTGCTGCTTTCACCCGGTGTCACTGTGAATAACAAAAGTTGGATGGGACCTGGAAAAAAGATAAACAGGGTCCCCCCAAAACTAGCCTCTACCTCACCAGACAGACGCAGACACACACACACACATATGGAGTCGCAGGGGAGAAGTCAAAAACTCTGTGCCCAAGTGGAGCCTTCGAGTCCTCAGGCACCAGTCACCGAGCGCTCTCAAAGCACCCAACACGGGAAACTTCCCCGATTCTCCCAAGTCCGAGGCAAAGCTGGTGCTTAGGCCAGCTGGACACTGGAGTTCCAAACAGATCTGGCTTACGGAACTTGTTTTATTCCAGTGGAACTGGAGTCGGGGTAGGTAGGGAAGGAGGTAGGTAGGAAGGAAAAAAAAAGGTAAGGGTGAAAGGGAAGACTCAGAGGTGCAGAGAAGAATTTTGGTAAGAAAGGAAGACAATGAGGAGGTCAAGGCTGTGAAGCAGGAAGTCAGGAGTCAGAGGAGAAGGGGACGGAACGAATTATAACAGGTAACAGAGGAGGAACGTTCTTCTAACATTACTGCCTTACAGCAGGAGTTCAAACCCAAATGCCTCAGAGACTAGGCTTGTATCTTAAATGAGCAGATGGCTCCAGACACCAAAAAAACAGGAGCTGAGGGGACTGAGGTAAAATACAGAGCATATGGAAGTCACCATTGCTTCCAGCCAACGGTGGCCACATAAAAAAAGGGAATCCAAAGATATGAATGGGTTTTTCAAGGAGAGCCAGCCAGAGCTTGTCTTTTGTTTGTTTTTAAATGAAATCTCTATCTTTAAGTTGGGGAAACAACTCCATTCATACACACAGGCGTGTGTGGAAATTCTTCTTAATAAACACTAAAATTGTAAAAATTTTAAAATTTTTTGTAAATTTTGTAAAATTGTAAGAATATAATTGGTCCAGACTTGACCTATCATGAAGTATGTGGCAAGTTTCCTTAGGACCTACACTTTGAAAACACCCTTCCCTTGGGGAGCATGAACGGTAACAAAAAACAATGATGCCCTGAATATGGCAGAGAGCATACAAGGTCCCCAGGCCAGGGTACCAACCAGCCCAGGCCAGGTCCCAGGCTACCTATAGCACACGCCAGTTTCCGAATTGCTCTGTAGTTCACGAAAGATCCCATCAATGCCGACAAACCCCTCTGCTGGTCTCTAAGAGGAAAAGTAGGGGAGGGAGCAGTATAAAGCTAATGGAGAGAGACAAGAAGGAGGGCTAAGGGTTTGCGTACATATGTGCATGTATATACACATTGCCGAGGAGAGGTGGCAGAAGTTATGGATGGAGCAAGCCTGGGCCAGTCGGTGGCTGGACAGAGCAGGGGACAGAGGCCCCTGGTGTGTTCTGGCCCCAACTAATTTGGGAAACAGTCTCACACTGGATGGCCCGAAGGCGAGGAATGACGGTGGGGCTCGCGGGAGGACTGGAGCGGCTGCTGACGAGACTCTTCCTTTTATCCATGGTGGGGGAGGCCTGAACCGTGAACTTGTGCTGGAAATCTGCTTGGGGAAAGACAGACATGCGTGCGTGTTAGAATTTTCCATAATCCAGTTCCTACAAGAAAAGTGACACTTCCCAGCAGGCTGGAGGGACAGGCCCCGGTTTCCTAAGAAGCAACTTGTTCGCCTGGGAAACGCTTTCTCCCCAAAGATGGCAGGACAACAGGCTGAACGTATGAGAAGGAAAATTCACTCTCCAAGTCAAGCTCATCTATAGGTCGGGTAGGTGTAGCAACCACAGATTTATAGCAGTTTTCTTAAGATCATGAGACTTGCTGATCAGTCTAGGAAATCTAACTTAAAATTCGGTTTCTTACAATCGATGAGAACAGGCCCCCTTCTCTCGGGGACCAAGGCAGGGAGCCAGAAGCTTCTCACTAAGGGCAGGCAGAGCAGAGTAATAAGGACTCATCCTTGGTGGGAACCTAGGGAAGCGAGCACGATGGGATTAATGGTTCAAACTGTGGTGTTTTCCAAAGGCAGTTATGGTATGGCATAAAGAAGGGAAACCTTACAGCCCTGGTTTTCTAAGTCCCAGTGTCCTCATCTTCAAGAGGTGTAATAAACAGACAAGTGTCTGCACCGGGGTCCCCTGACTAGACGCGATCTCCCTGAAGGTGGGAACTACTGCTTCCCTCCGAGCTTCCCCAGCTCACAGCAGCAGCCAGCACACATGACACGCTCCAGAGGGGCTCACAGACTGTGCTGCCGGCCAGGACATGTGCAACGAGAACACTAGGAGACATGTCCCACAAATCCAGCCACGGGATTGCACTGGATGAATTCCCGTGCTTACACTGAAGCCATCACCCCGGGGCTTAAAATCCTCCACTGTGTCCCGGTGATGCTATTTTCCCTCGGTTTCCTCTCACCTCTACTGAGCTTGCTTCCCAGGACCTTGTAGACGTAGAATACAACAAACCCACATTGAGCACCGCCTCCCTCCATGGGTCCATTACAGCCCACAAAGATTCTAACTCATGGTTTTGTGTTGATTTGCATTTTCTCAAGGCTGAACATAGTACAGATGTACCTCTCCTCACCCAAAGTGCTTCTGAAAGGTTGTGTGCAACTCCAATTCCTACCCGTGAATCCTACTCTCCACTGCGGCCAGAGAACTGGTTATTCAAAGAAACCCTGAGAGGAGTTATTCTGCAGAGCCCTGAGTCCTCTACGGGAGCCACCAGGCTGCTGGCTGTCTGGACCGTGCCCGTCAGGTCTGCCCACGACCCGTCTGTCCTCCCCTCGGTCTGTTTAGCCACACTCAGAAACTCCCCCAGTGTGGACCAGCTTGGCCGCGGGCCAGTCTCCCCCCAAATGGCCAGCCCACTTCGAGCCCGCCCCGATCTGAGACCCAGAGCGTCCTGCCTCGCGGAGCTGGGTCCCCGGCTCCCTGCAGGGCCCCGGCCACTGACCGGAAGGGAGGCTGATGCGGTTCCCGTCCTTGAGCTTCAGCCGGCTCTTCCGGAACTTGCCCTTGCGCTTCTTCACCCGGGGCTTCTCCTGGCACAGCTGGTGGATGATGATGTTGAGCTCCCGCTCCAGGATGTCGATCTCCCGCTCGGCCAGCTCCTGCTCGCGGCGCCGCAGCAGCTCCTCCTGGGTCTTCTGCTGGAGCGCGGCCCGCGTCAGCTCCTCCTCCCAGGTGCGCAGCTCCTGCAGGGGCGGAAACACGGCGGAGAAGGGGGGGCGCTCCGGGTTGGAGGGGAGGCTGAGGGCCCTCGAGGGCCGGTGCCTCCATACTCCAGGTCCCAGACAGGGCACGGGTCTCCCAGGTGGCTGGTAAAGGAATCCCTGACCGCCCCAGGAGCTGGATGCCCAGGAAGGGCAGGCTCAGCCCGGCCACCTGTGGACATAGCCATGGTAGCCCTGGAGACGGGGGCTGAGGGTTCCTACATTACTGATTAAAATTGCCTGTGACTGGAAAAACATGGGCGTTTGGACAGAAAATATTATCATGTACTTAAATTTTACAGACTTGGTTGTATTTTCATTTTTTCCCATTCTATAAAGGATGGTTTTTAAACCAAATGTGACTTAAACTGTGCCCACTATAAATGAATCAGCCTCCAGGTATCACCTAATAGTCAAATAAAAATGTATTTCCAGAGTGATTGCTCAAAAGGCAGTGAGGCGTGTCTTCTGCACCTCTGTTCAGTTGGTGAGTGACTCCACGGAGGCACGTGGTTTGCACTCTCATCTTGAAGGAAAACGCTGTGCTCTGGAAGGATCGCGGCAGCACAGCAAAGAGAAGAGAAAACATTTCCCAGTCTTTGCCAGGCTGCTCTGGTACCACTGCTGTATTAGATGGGCAGAACCTGCTCTCATCTACGGGATAGTGTGGGTTGTAGCCCCTTTCTTTGAGGGAACTCAGACCCCAGTCCAGAGACAAATCCATCATCGCTATACCTGGAAACGGTAAGTTGAGACAAGCTGGGAATAAGCTGACTCAGACGAGAAACCAGGACACTTACGGAATACTGGCCGGCGGCACCATAAGACCCCAGCCTCTCAAACATGGTGAGTGTCCTCCTTCTGTGAAGCACCTGTCCGGGATCAGCCTCCTCGTATGCAAATCACCTCACTGCACACAGTGACTTAAGAGGCATCTCCCCAGGGAGAAAGCTCATTATCATCCTTCACCCTCACTTGCCCCACTAGAGTCTTACCATGGACTGGCATCAGGGCACCGTGGTTAAGAGCAAGGACTCTGGAACAAACTGCCCGAATCGTGGCCCCGGGGCGAGTTACCGTGGGCCTTATAAGTACCATGGAGTTAACTGCACTGACATCACAGTTGTTTACATAAGACAATTACTATCTTATTATGTGAGATTTTATAAGGATTCCTATAAATCGCTTTACAACAGAGCACAGCACATAGTACGTGCTCTCCGAATGCTGGCTGCTACGAGAATTGGTTTGGCTTCTCCTAATAACTACCCATGACAAAATCCAACTTCCATTTTTCGTACTGGCGGGTACCCTAATAATTTCATCAACCGAAAGCAAAAAAACCATGAATCAAGTGATTGGACAACCTCAAGAGCCAGCAGCACGAGGTTCTTCTACTCGGAACAGCACTAGTAACAGGAGCACCTCCTCTTCTTTTTCTTTTTTCAAGATTTCATTTATTTATTCATTTGAGAGAGAGAGAACATGAGTAGGGGGACGGGAGAGGGACAAGCAGACTCCCTGCTGAGTGGGAGGGCTCACTGTTGGGGCTCCGTCCTCCTGAAACCATGACCTGAGGCAAAGTCAGATGCTTAACTGACTGAGCCACCTGGGGGCCAGAGGAATGGCCTTTTTCAATCATTCAGTCAGTGCTGGTCCCTTCCCCCCACCCAGGGCCCAAAAAGCTGTCATGAGCTCAGTCCATTCCCCTGTGGAACACGCATTGACTTGCCAAGTAGTACCAGGTTGAGGAGTGCTACGTGGCATAGAAAGAGGTTTATCTCTTCAAATGAGCTTCAGAAATGATTTTTAAGTCATTTGTTGAGGGAAACAATGATACTGGAGAGAAGATGGCTTTGGAATCAGATGACCCAGAAGGAAGACTGTGCTTCCCCGCTTACTGGCTGTGTGACTGCAGACAAGTCACTGACCCTTTGCCCTGGACGAGAAAGACAGTGACACCTGCCTACATGCTGGGGGGCAGGGGCCACGAGACTGCAGGATAAAAAGGATGAAAAGTTCTTCCATCATCACATCTTTCAAGGGAAAGAACTGAGAAGCCATAAAGATGTACATAATTTCAGCTCCTCTTATCATGTTGCTTCCCAAATGCCCCGAGTGGGCAACGAGGAGGGAAAAAAGAAATTCACCAACAGACACGGCTGTAGCCCTTATAGATCCAGCCCAGCCCGAGCAGCAGCAACGTAAGTGCTTGTTCCCCGCCCTCACCCCCCGTGGACGCGGACCGCTCCTCAGACACCGGGGGCCCGGAGAGGAGCCATGTAAGAAATGGCCACCAAAACGAATGGCAGATCTCTAGTAAGCTAAGAATATCTGAGCTCCTCAGTCAGTTCAGGCTTTAGCCTTTTTCATAAAAACACACAAAACACCCTATCATTTCAGAACCACAGTATTTTCAGCCCATCTTTTGTTTCTGGCTCTGACACCAAAGACAGTGGCAGGATGTGCTGATGACTGTGTTCAGTGTTGAAGCGTCCCTGTCTCCAGGTAACCCCCACTCTGGAAGTCCACTACGGAACCAAGAAAGGATTCTAGAACCCTCTCCGATTTCCTGCTGGTGCCTGCCCAGTGGTGCTCTTCCTCTGGTTTGGACAGTGGAATAGATACTCCACGTGGAGAACTTTGGGCTCATGACGCCCAGCTTGTTCCTGCCAAATCCCAGAAAGAAAGGAAACGTCTCTACCACTTCAGGACACACCTGAGACCTCCTTCTATATAACGTCGGGAAGAAAAAGGTGCTGTTACCTCAGACTAAGCAGGAAGGTGCTTGTGTCAGAATCGGTCCAGAGGCCCCAGCGGAGAAGGCCCAGTGGGGAAGGCCCACTTGATTCAACGCGTGCCTTTTTTCTTGTTTTATTTACCTTTTCTTTGGCCCTGAGTTGGTCAAACATCTCCTGAATCTCGTGTTTCCAGTCATCCTGCAGGCAGTGGAAGGAGTCCTTGGGCATTTCAAAGAAGCCAGACTCCTCTATGGTAGTTAGCTGGTCCAGGATATTTGTGAAAGATGGTCGTGAATGAGGGTCAGGATTCCAGCAATCTGTGTGGAACACGGGAGCAGACAGAAAGCACCAATGGACAGAGACAGGAGTAAGACAGAATGTTACGTGACCTTATTTACCAGGAAACTGTCTCACAATGTTCCTTCCAGAAACAGAAACACGGGGACTTCGGCAACCACACACAGGGCGGGGGAAAGCAAGCTGCCCGCGCTCACGACCAGAGCGAACGTGGAAACAGATGCAGCAGTTCTGCCTCCAACCGACTCTGCCTGCCGACGTAGCATCAGAAAAGCAAGTCCAAGGGGTTTGCTGGCGCAAGGCTCAACAACCAGGACTTACCACGTTCCTACACAATTCCAGCCCTGACAGTGGTAACTGGACTTCGGACCTCAGTTTCCCACCAATAAATGAGCCAGCCTTCCCCACGTCACTGGGATGATGATGAGGCAAAGATAAAAAGGAATGGACTGGGTGTTGGGATGGGTGAACGCTACGTCTTCTCAGCTCACACACTAGCTAACAGAGTGCACTTTGTCTCTATCAGCTTCGGATTTCTCGCTCAGGGAATTACAGGGTTTGACCAGGTGACTCCTAGAGTTCTCTTCTCGGACGTTCTTCGTTTCTAGATGTAATACACTTGGAGATCTTAAAAACAGAAGCTGTCATGTCTTCTCATTTTGTATTAGATAATAAAATACTGAATTGCTGGGTAGTGGGTTTTAGTTACTAAGTGGAGTTCTGCAGTCCCTGGGGATGGACAGAGGCGCACCTGTGACATCAACGCAGCAGGTGCCCACATCATCTGAAAGTGGCTCTTCCAACCACCCACGGGATTCCTCCCTGACTTGTACTTCCTCTCCTCTCTCTGTGATGGACCCGGCCGAATCGTCCAACATCTACCCAAGCGCTGCTCTAGTTTTGTTCCAGTCAGCGGTCACTTACCTTCCATGAGTTTGGCAAAAGGTTCTGGGCATGTAGAAGGAATGGGAAGGGCGAGCTTGTTCATGGCAACTCCGTAAGCCACAGCTAAGCCATCGATTCCTCGGAAGGGCACCTCGCCGGTCAAGAGCTCCCAAAGCAGCACCCCGTAGCTGAGGAGAGGAAGAAGACAGAAGCCATCTCAGACTGCCACAGATGTGATCTCACCGACAGAGCTCACGAGGCCTTTCCAAGCTAGCCACACTCTCCCTGGCACGGAGGGAGACCAGCAGAGCAGATGCACTAAAGGGACACAGACAGGAGACCAGGAGGCCTGCCTTCTAGAAGCAAAAGCCCTGGAGTCAGGCACACTTAGTTTCAAAGTCTTGTTCCTCAAACTCCTCATCTACAAAGTGCAAATCACAACTCCATTCTCACAAGGAGGCCGTGAGAGTCTCTGAGCCACTCGGAGGGTTTAAATCAGCACTCGCCGGCCGTACTCTTCTGTCGTTACTACTGCTGACGTAATACTCTGGAAGAAGAGGCCGCATCCCAAGAATACATTTTTTTCCTATTTTAAGAAAACTTCAGCTTTCGTCACAGATACCTTTTTTTCAGCTTTAGAAACGTGGAGAGTTGACCACCTACGACAAACAGATTTTCCTCCTGTCACAGGATCCTTTAAATGACCCCTAGGATGGATAGATTCCTGCCCCGATCAGTTAACTGAGACCGTGTGTAATTTGAAGGGGAAAGTCACACAAGGGCAGCCTACACGGGAAGAGCAGAACAGGGCGTCAGCCATGAGGACCTCAGTTTCCTCCCGACCTTTCAAATCCACATGAAGAATTTTCCTTTCACATGTCCTGCAAGTCAGAGGATGGGGAGCACAAAGCTTAGAATAATTATTCTATGAATTCACAATCTGAACAAGGAAAACTCATGTAGTGTTCAATCCTTCCAGAAACAGCGATGCTCCCAGGACAAGCAACCATAAGGCCACGGACAGTTTGAACAGTGGCTCTCCTTGTATTTTCAGCACAAATCTCAAATTTCGAAAAATACTCATCAGTAGTTTCCAACTAACAGAGTCATGTTATTTTCTTTTATAAGATTTGACTTACTTATCTGACAGTGAGAGAGAGAGCACAAGCAGGGGGAGCAGCAGGCAGAGGGAGAGGGAGAAGCAGGCTCCTGCTGAGCAGAGAGCCCGATGTGGGGTGTGGTCCCAGGACTCTGGGATCATGACCTGAGCCGAAGGCAGATGCTTAACCGACTAAGCCACCCAGGTGCCCCAAAGTCAAGTTATTTTAAAGCAAAACATGGCTCAGTTGATGGAGCTGATGACTCTTGATGTCAGGGTCATGAGTTCCAAGTCCCATGTTGGGCACAGAGATTACTTAATTTAAAAAAAAGTAGGCCCAGTACCTATTTCATCGTGGTACTTTGGATGCAGGAGGAGCTACGACATTTATAACACCATCTTGAATCTCTACTACGAACCAGCAAGATAAATATTATAGCAATTCTGCAGATGACAAAAGCAAATTTCAGATAAGTTTAGGGTCTACACAGAGTAAGTAAGTCAAGATGGACCCCGGACCAAGTCTCAGTTCCTTCTCTCTAGATCCCCAGCTACCATTTTTCTGCTTGATAAACTCTGCCTTCAAGATCAAATTCAAATGTACCACCATGCATTCATTTCACACATCTACTAAAGATTTACTATGCATCAAGGTCAAGGCTGGGCACTGGGATGCTGGATACAGATCTTGTCCACAAAGAGGCCAGTGAGAGGAACAGAAAAAATGTCAATTAGAACACAGAGATGAGTCACAAGAGAGATACCATGAGTGCACAAAGAGCAGATGGGCTCCTGGCCAGACCCGAATGGGGGCAGGAGACAGCTGAACCTTGACTGTTAGATAAGGAAAGACAGAGATCCGGAAACAGGGGTCAGCAATGCACAGGGCATGGCTTGCCCTCAAAGAATCCCAAATGGCGTGGTCTGGCTCCTAAGAAGAGCAGCAGGCCAGTCACTGCCCCAGAAGATCCCTGCACACGGCCCGCCAGGTGGCCTGGCCAGTCTCCTTGGACAATGGCTTTCCCTCGGTGAGTCCTCCAAATACCACCACTTTCTGCACGTATCTCAACCACCAAAAAAAGCCTGATAGACAGTTGCAGGTCTTGTCTTGACGGGGAGCTGGGTTTTACTCTGAGGCCGATGGCAACCACGCTGGGCACTTGAGGAAGCCTTCCCTGACACTCGCAGGTGTTACTTAACCCTTGTGCGGGCAGCCGTGTACAGCAGTTACCTGTCTGCCAGCCTATGGGCTCTTCCGGGGCAGGGACAGTAGTTTAATCTCTGCATTCAGAGGGTCGCGGACACAGCAGGTGCTCACACAGTAAAGGACTTGGGGGGTGGGTGTGGGGAAAAGCTCATGGTCGGACGGGCCTGCAGGCTGCACTGCGTACCCGGGAGTCAGCCGTGGATACAGAGAACTGCGCTGTTATTCTTCCTGCCGAACCGTTACTGTGACTCGTCCAGACGGCGGTGGTGCTGGGCAGCCGCTACCGAGGGACTCAGAACCCTCAGCGCTGCGGACGAGACTCGGAGCTCACAGTGACAGTCATCTCTAGCTGTCTGCTCCTGGCATTCCTGCCAACCTCCACTCTGGGCAATTAAAACCCTAAGTCCCCCAGAACCCCTCTCCTCTATCGAGGCTAAGATGACGGGTATCGGAGCCCTAACTACCTACAAAGACAGTAGAGTATTTCAAAGATCTAAACAGGTGTCCTCTTTCTGTCCTCTTTACGTCCTTGCACGGGCTCTGGGACGGTTTCCATGGAGCTGTCCCAGGCCACCTGGAAGAGGGAGAAGCCAGGGACTCCTCCCCTCTCGGTTTCAAGGACGGTAGCTCTGCTCTCACTTGGCTTCTTTGTTCTTCTGCATTTTGCTCCACGTGAAAGGCCCCACAACTAAGAGAACGCTGCTCAGGAAAGATTCGGACAGACTTGAGTCAATGTCTGCTTTACCACTCACAGCCTTGTGGCCCTGGGAAAGGAAGTTCCTCAGTTCTGTGCAACAAAGACAGCACTTCCCACCTCACAGAATAGCGGCAAGGGATAAATAACACGACTACTACTTCTCCAGAAGCTTCTACGTACGGCTAGTGAACGCTGTATGTTTCCCCTTGGGAAGGGCCGGAAACAAGAAGGCCTCGGGTGGGATTCAGGGAAAGTCCGCAGTGTTGGCCGAGAGCCTGAGGGACACCAGCATTCAGGCAAGAAGCCTTTCTGGGAATGAGTGAACAGTAAGTCCTCCTCTGCCAATGTTCCTCTATTTCTGTAACCGAAGGTGGTAACAGAAGAGAAGCCTTGGCGTTCCTTTGGCAGGAATACAGTCCAAGCAAGGAACTAAAGAGTTACACATTGGAGGGGTCTGAGCCCCGGGGAGAGGGGGCCAGAACAAGTCCACATGATTTACCTCAGGTCTGACCTACGCTGAAGCCCTCCCAGAGTTGACAGAAGGTCAAGAGGCCCTTTCAAGACCACATCCAAGCAGCCTGGAAGTATCAGCTCAGCTGAAACTCCGCCCCAGCCCCTCCCCTTGCAGAGCCACCAGCCCCCACAGTGCTGTCAGCGGTTTCCCAGGAGTCCTTGCAAACTCACCCCAAACCCTGGGGAACGCACCCCGTGTCGATAATTAACCACCTCCAGGGGCATGGAAATCCTTTCCATCACATGGTGGGGTCACAGGTCAGCAAGGGGTGTTCTATGTTTTCAAAGTGAGGAAAAGCGTGGATAGCGGCCGGCCAAAGGCACGGCAAACCCACGCCTGAGCTGGACTGGGATGAGCTTTCTTATCAACCGACCTCATCTCTAAGACACACACCCTGAAAGGAGAAGGTGTTCCTCAAACAGGCTTCTGCACTTGGTAATCAGCTGTGACCCCGTATTCCAGAAACCACACTGTTCAATAATCTTTCACACAGGGGCCCCTGGGTCATACAGTTGGTTAAGCATCTGACTCCTGATTCTGGCTCCTGAGATGGAGCCCCAAGTTGGGCTCCACGCTCAGCACGGAGTCTGCTGGAGACTCTCTCTCCCTCTCCCTCTGCCCTCCTCCTCTCCCCTCCACTCTCTCTTTCTCTGTGTCAAATAAATAAACCAACCTTTAAAAAAATATCTTGGGCAGGGCACCTGGGTGGCTCAGCGGGTTAAGCATCTGCCTTCAGCTCAGGTCATGGGCTCAGGGTCCTGGGATCCAGCCCTACATCAGGCTCTCCACTCACTGGGAAGCATGCTTCCCTCTCCTCGCCCCCGCCTGCCTCTCTGCCTACTTGTGATCTCTGTCAAATAAATAAATAAAATCTTTAAAAAAACCAGTATCTTGGGCAAAGTTAGTTGAACGACCACATGAGAAAGCACTCGGTAAATTGTAAAGTAACATAAAACTATTCTTGTTAACTAGACCTCATTCAGAATGATGATTTATTAATATATACATGAATATATTGACACAATAAATATTTACTGATATGGTAATATGCTCATGCTATATTGTATTCCAAAAACAGTTTATGAAACAGAAAGATTCCATTTTAAGGGATGGGCAGATAAGCATATAAACAGAAATAAAGGTACCAAAATGTTAATAGAGGTTATCTTTAGAAGTGGGTAAAGGGTGATTTCTTTTTCCCTTTTTTTTTTATCCACATTTTCTAATTTTCTTCGATGGTGAACATACAAACATATTTTACTTCTGCAATTTTAAAAACTTAAAATGCCTCCACTTCATCCCGCAGACACCAGGCAAGAAGTCATTACAAGAGACCACCAACCACTGCGCTCCCTACACAGAACAACCGAAGGAAAGCTTTTGTCCACTACCCTTCCTGAGGCGGTCTGAGTCCAAGCAGATGAGGAAGCTCGTGAAGATGAGGACCTGGGCTGTTATCAACATAGCCTCTGTCACAGCATGTGGAAGAGGCCCAGGGAACCACATGCTTGACAAGCACTAAGACTCAGCTGGCCTTGGGCACTAGCAAAAGCAGAGGCCGAGAGGCCCCAGATCCCAGGGAGTTCCAGGAGGGGTGGGGGACAGATACAGGCTCAGCCTAGTACCTGGCACAAAGTTAGTATTCAACAAATGATTCCTAAATGAGTAAAT